TCACCCCCCCCCCCCCCCCCCGCCCCGTCTCTTCCACTTCAGCAAAATTAGAGAATAGTTAAAGGACTTGCCTTGTTATACAAACATCTAATATTCAGGCATCAACCAAAATGATTTAGAGGAAAGATTCTTGCAGACTGGAATAACCCAGGTGTTTTTCATTGTTTCTTACTGAAATGCAAAACTGGGGAACATTCATTTCAGGTTGAATATAGATGTTATACCTGCAGTGACATCTCATTTGTCCTGTTTTGGGGGAGGGGGAAGGGTTTAATCCTTTCAAAAGAGCTTAAAATCTAGTGTTAAATGTATTTCTTGAATGAAATGTTGAAATGTTTATTTTGAAAATATCAAATGAAGATATTTTTTCCTAAAATACACCCTCAGCATTTTCTTCACCCAAGGTCTTTCACAGAGGTTGACATAAACTTGGGAATTAAACCAATCCTGTCTATAATCCTCAATGTCAATGTTTTGAAAGCACTGTGAAGCAAATAAGCAGACCAGTGACGATGAGGGCTATCTAACCAAACTCAGAAAACCCAGTACCTTAGAAATATCAAAAACCATTGATGTTCATGTTGTTTGTGAATTTAAGAACTGTTCTGTTTACCACCCCCGCCCAAGCAAATCACATAGGGAAACCTTGTGATAGAATGAAGTCTTGTGCTTGACGAGGTTGAATGTTGTAGTACAACCTTGCTCCTTACAATTAAAATGAAGGCGCACACATATTGTAAAAAAAGGTAATATGGATCTAGTTTTCACTGATGGCATCTAATTGTGTGAGGACTTCTAAATTGCTTCTTCGGATCTACATTGTGTCGGGGCTGTTTAAATTACTCCCAAATGCCATCAGATGGCTTAGGAGGAAATTAACTGGTCTCTCAGTTAATAGGTGTTGTAATTGCCAATATTTGTATCTACATGTGAAGCTTAACCAAAAATTTGGTGTATGTCTAATAACCAGGCTTGGGCTCAGCCCCATGGTTACTTTGTGAGTGGTTGCATGAGAGGGGGACTTTTTTTCCTTTCTGACTGTTTTGGCTCCTATTCAACCTTCCAACACAACATTAAACATGTGTGGCTTGTAGTATAGAAACATGCACACAAAAACATGCACACACATGCTCACTAGTCTCATAGACGCAGGTCAGTGCAGTGGTTATTCTGCTATAACAGGCTGTGAAAGGATGGTTGATAGAGGGAAAGGGTACATCATAATTCAAAAGAAAAATAGTCCTGCTTTTCCTCCCATTCCTGCCTACCCTGACATAATTATGCTGACTGCTGCGACACCATTATCTTCACCTTTCCTATGAGTTTGTATCTGGCAGCAACTTCTCTGGACCACATTGAAAAGATGAGTCAGGGGCCTAAAAGAGGTCTCTGCCTGTAAGCCAGGTACTTATATATCCAAAACTATAGTTCTGAAAACACCATCCACACCCTCTGCAAGTGCCTAGAAAATACCAGGCACCTTGGGTACTATTTGAAGGTTACCCGTCTACATGAGAAAGGTAGGGGAATTAGGTACCTTGCCAAAGGCTTTATTCTGACTTTTGCCCAAGGGCTGTATAGTGCAGACAGGACAGCCTGACCAACAACAACGTTTGGCACTCACATCCCTCCTGCCCAAAGGGTAGCAAGAGATTTATTCTCTTCTGGTCTGCCTTTAGCATCCTTCTTTCCTGTGTCTGTATGAAAGCATCCCAGAACAGCCTGTAGCTGGGAAGTTAGAGCACTCACGGCAGAAGCAGCTTGTGGATAAAGGATGGGAACTCACATTTTAAAGAAAGACAGTGAGCCTTGCTCTGTGCTTTCAAGAGCAATGCAAGGAGCTGAGTCAATGTGGTGCCCAGCTCTAGCCTCCCAGGCAAGCTCCAGAAAGGGTAAGGAGGCCTGCCACAGCTTCACGGCCAGTGGTTTTAATGAGTAACTCTGTCTTTTGATCACCTTATAGTCTTCCTCTGATTCACTTATGGCTCATAGGCATCCTGATATAGTATATTTCATTTATTTGGCCAGGCACTTAGAAATCAGGTGTTGCCACACCTGATTTTGTAGGTTATTTTGCAACTGTACCACTTACATCTTGGTTAGACAAGGATCCAAACCTCCTATCGCTCAGCAAGCAAAGCGCTTGTCTTTGTGGACATCAAAATAACAAAACTATCAAGTTCAAGTAGATGGCAATATCTCATACAGAGTAGGTTAACCCCCCAGCCTTAAAATTGATTCTAATGCCTCTGAGATAGATATATATATATGTATATAAAAATAATACAATAATTTGCAAGTTTGTCAGGCAATGAAAGGTAGTATATTTTGACACACTAATCCAGTAACTAATCAGTTTTCTAATAAACAATCAGCAGTACACTAATGTGTCATCAGCACTTCAGGAGCTCTGGAGAGTGGATGATCTGCACATAGACGTTAATGAATACCCCAAAAATCATTAAGTAATCAATACTTCTGAGTTATTTTCATTGAGCTGATAGGTCTGATACATTAAAGCTGACATTTTACATTTGTCAAGATCACAGTGCAGTTTTTAACAGTGGAACAGGCTGCTAAAAATATTCCATGAAAGACAATCAAAGAAACACAACTTAAAACTGTTGACATTTTAGATTGGTACTGTAGCTTGGATGAATGACTCTGTAATGTCTGTGCTAAATGTTCCTGAAACAGAAATTTCTTACTAAAAATTACTAATGTGAAGAGCATTCCACAATTATGCATATGTGTAAATATTTTTCTTTTCTCTTTTTCTTTTTTTTGTAAGCAGCTAGATCAGTGACAGTTCACTTTCTATCATTCACATCAGTGAAGAGAGAAAGATGAATATGAATTAGCTGAGCCCTTTGTTTTCCTCACTTCTCCTTTGAAGGTGAAGAATTCATCGTAGTGATGCTTTTATGATAATCTTCTTTGAAGATAAAACATCACACAGCACCATTAAATGAAAGGTGGCTTTTGGAGCGAGCGCCATACAAGAAGAATCTGCTGCATCTGTATTTGCGACTCATCAAACACCCCTATCTAGTGTTCAGAATGCAAATTAAGAAGGCAGTATTTGGGAAGTTAAATACAATATATTCTCTTTCAGAACAGGGATAGGGGATTCTTTCCAAGCTAGCAATGACCGCCATCCTATCCCCTCCGAAATTCAATGGCTTTGTTCATTTGTTCACATGTTCTTTTTGTTGCAGATTATGGTTCTTTAAAGAGAGGACAGGGTAGAAAGAGAGACAACATAAAAGACAGTGAAGCAAACACTGGTGGCTGTTATGAGTTCTTGCTCAACCCACAGATTTCTCAAATGGTGTGGAAGTTTTCAGATAATTAACCACTAACTCTATGTGCTTATTTAAAATGAACCACACTGCATAGTCAAATCAGATAAACAAAGAGTTTTCTCTTGTTCTAGCACTGAATGATTATTGCTTTGTGATTTCTCTTCCTCCAATAGGCAATTGTAGATTTTAAATTAGCAGAAGGTGAAATTCTATTTGTCATCAATTTCTCCTAGGGGTTACAGAGCAGAAAACTGCAGACAAGCTGCTTCTTTGATGGCTCACTCCTAAAAATCTCTTTTTGTTCTTTATCTATTTGAACTGACAGTGATCAGAGCTACAGCAGGACAGGCCTCTCTGGAGAAATCACCTTCCCCCTGTCTATTGACAGATTCCTCTGTTCTGAATCAGACAGGCCTTGTCCCATCATAGGCATCAAGGCCTTGGAAGTAGCCACCAATTAAACCTCTTGAGCCAGTAAAATCTGAAGCCACTTTTGAGTGTCTGTTCTGATTAGGCAGGATGAGGCAAAGCCCATCACCAGCCCCCCCCGCCAGCAGCTCCCTGGTCTCAATTTTCTCTCTTGCCTTCACCAGGTGCGAGAGGTGTGAGAGGAGCTTCACACAAGCCACCCAGCTGAGTCGACACCAGAGGATGCCCAATGAGTGCAAGCCAATAACAGAGAGCACAGAATCAATTGAAGTGGATTAACTGATTGACTGGTTGGAATTAAACTGCAAGGAAAGTCATGATTAAATGTCACGGACACTTAAGCAAAACCAAAGATTTCCTCTGAGCAACTTTCAATCAGTCCCAGAAAACCAAAAGCAGTAATAAAATAAGTAAGATGTTAAGAGATATTGATCCTGGCGTGGAAGTGAGACCAGGAAAGAGATTATTTATTTATGACTAGGGATGAGTCTTATTTCAATTGACAAGTTACTTGGGACTGTTAACATTTCAAGTCCCGCCATGTATTGCTTTAATTCTAAAAGCCTTTATAATCATTATTTAATGCCAAAGTGAGGAATCTCAAGGGTTCTTCTGCCCGTAGTTATGACTGAGAATGCACATGGACTTGTTTATTGTTGCACCTTTTTTTGTAGCATGACTCAAAGAACCCAGATGTAATCCGTACATTTGGTTGGGCTGGGCTAAGTTGATCTTGACATGGCTGTAATAGGAATTGCTGTGTGGGATGGGAAATGATCAAGAGCTATATCTGGGTCAGTGTCAGCCTCCTCAGACCAAAGGGCATTTCATTTCCATAGTCTCATGCCTCACACTGTGTGCACTTTTTCATGCAAGTAGTTTCATTCAACAGAATCGTGTTGGCATAGATATTCTGGAAAAAAAAAAAAAGAAAAAAAAAGGGAAAAAAAAAGGAATGTTGTATATCTGCAAATATACATTATATAAAGAAGCCAGTAGAAAACTATGTTAAACATTAGTTTAGAGCTCTCAAATTCAGTCTAATAGCTATGAAAGACAGAGGCAGTAGAAAGTATTTTAAACTTTTAAGATTCCAGTCTGCGTGTAAATTGTATTATGAGGAGCAAAAAACCAAGATAATGTTTTTTAGTTTGGGTAATTGATTTAATGGCTTGCTGATTTCTAGGAAAACTGATCAGAAATCCAAGCTGTAGTCCATTGATATTTTTACTCTCTTGGTTTGGATCAAATTGAAAATGCTCTTGTATTAGATAAAACTTTCAACATACTTGGGCTGAGCTTCAAAACAAAAGCTAAATCTGAGCTCAGATACTTTGTAAATGGCTTGGAGGCTTCATAGTGTTCACTTGGGGAAATTTGCCTGGTACAGTCATGAATGAAAGGAAGCCAAAATATTCCTAACATCAATGTAAAAAGGTCAGATGTCATTACATTAGTTCAATTTAACAATTTCCATATTGGCTTCTTTCAAGCTTTTATCCGTGATGTATTTCAGATTTCATGATTTTGTCTAATCAAGGAATGGGTTTCACTTTTAGAGACCAGCAGTGTTTGTTTATATATTGATTGTCTCAGTGCTAGAGCTGTAGTTTGATAAAAATGTAAAAAACAAAAAAAAAAAAAAAAACAACAAAAAAAAAAAACAAAAAAACCCCCCACAACACACACACACACACACAAAAACAAACAAAAAAAAAAAAACCACCAACAACGAGAAGCAAAACCTAAACAGTTCTGAGGTCATGCTATATCATAAGGTAAAACTGCAAAATAAATTTGTGGAGATTATGGGGATTAAAACAGATTCATTCAGTTTTGCACCAAAACTGAAGTGCTGGGTAGCTCATAAGGGCTCAGTTGATTATATTAAATATTTTAAAAACATTTATGGGGATGATTTTAAATATGTAGAGAATTATGTATCCAATTCTGTAAAGGGCTAGACAGAATCAGCTACAAATTTAATAATAGGTTCAGACCATTTATGAATTCTGCAGAGCTCAAGCAGAAAAAGAGCATACAATAAAACTCAAATACATTTTAAAGGAATTTAAAAGCTAAGACATCCTTACTTCAGGATGTTCATTTATTATGTTGCAGAAATTACACTGCAGAATCTGGAGTTTCCAAAGCTTTGCAGGGAATTCCTTCAGGAGTTACTGTATTTGTGTTTGGCCATTAAAAATGTAAAACATTGTGGAAAAAAAAGATATTTTTTATCATTGTTCTAGCAAGTACCAGATTATCTCATAAAGAGGCTTTGGCCCTGTGAGTTTTTCAGCTCTGTTTGTCAGTGCAGAGATATGGGGAGTGGGCTATTCTGTCGTCACTTGCCTGATTTTATTCTCCAAACTATGAGAGATTCTTAGCTACTATATAAATGTGTTTGTTTGTTTGCTTGTTTGTTTGTTTGTGTTTTTTTTAGGTTCAAAGAAGCGTGGGAAGCTGGGTAGGAAGAATTATAACTTTAAGGTGACTATTTGAACATTGGTTTGTTACTAGCAAGGCTAATCAAACAGAAAAAACCAAAATCTAATCCCAAACCTTTCAGACCCTCATGCCTGGTAGTTCACACTTTCCCTTATTTAAAAGGCTTAATGTGAAGTAACATCTTGGTGGGGCACAAGCTTTTAGTTAACATTTGAACAGCAGCTGTAGATCACTTCTGCAAACAAATAGATAGTCTCACCAAAGAAAAAAAAAAAAGGCAGAAATTTATAAATAGAGTAAGTGGGAAAAGAGATATGTCATGCTCCGATGAGCAAATGTGAGCTATCTGTTAGATCACTGACTTGTGCTGTTGCATTATCTAACTGTGCTCTCCTGTTCAGAGGTGTGGTTATTGGTAGTGCAGAGCACTCAGCCTCTTGCAGAAAGGGATTTAAATTTGAATTCTATAATGCAAATAGAATGTAAGTATGTGCTACAGGTATTGCAAGTTCCCTGCTGAATATAGATAGGCTTACTCATATGTTTTAATTAAACATGTGTCTAAATATTCTCCTGAATGGGCATGAAATAAAGATCAATTATTTCAAGATTTTACTGGATTAAAAAAAAATAATGCACCAGAGTAGGATTTCTGCAGAATTTACTTTTTTTCTTCCAAATAAGTCTTTCCTGTGTAAATCACTATGTTGTGCGAGATGCCTAAGCACAATTTCAGTTTTTGTGTTATTTTATACATGGCACTTTCACAACTGATTTGGCGGCATACAAAAACAATTCAGTGAAAACCCATGATTTCATAGTGGGTTTTTCTCAAGTACAATTGGCATACACAGCAAATGTAAAACTAACATGGACAAGCTAAAATACATCTTAGGTTTGGACTAAACAGAATCTAGTTCCTGTCTGCAAATCCCAAATGCTGAGCTTCTGTTCATGTATTGACAGAACAACCATACATTTAGGTCTATTATGAATACAGTATGTGTTTGCACACAGTAAACTGAAGCAGTAAGTAGTACAATTATCTTTAAATGTAGTGATTATGTGCCTGCCATTTCAGAATTTCTGAAGCACTTGGCATCTCTGTTTTGTACTCTGGTAAATAAATACAAGCTTGTTTGTTTAATTTTTTTTTTCCTAACCCTGAGAAGGTTGGAAGTCATGTTTAAAAACTGTGCCTAGTTCTGATTTTTTTTCAGTGTGGAATTAGATTTTATACATTCATAGGGTTATTCCTTTCAGAAAGTCATTAGGTCCTTCATGAACCTGCAGTTATAGACCCCAAATATGATCTTTTTTAATACAATTTGATTGTCTTCCCATGAAAGAAAGCTGAGTTGGGAATAATGTAAGAATTACAGCACATTACATACTAGAAACTTACAAGCAATGATGTGTATATCTTTCCTTCTGGTAACATCATCTCTCCTTTTAATTACTATTTATTATTTGTATGGTGCCATTATGTTATGTGATGCTGTCTTATAACTGACAAAATGATGTGATTTCAGACAAATAAATAGGTGAAAGTCCAAAAGTAAGTCCTCATTGCTTTTGAGAATCATCAATTGCTATGATTTTTTTTTTAATTGCAATTAGAGCACTCTTCTGTTCCATCCAAGTCCTTTCTGTGGATAAGATTCCAGAAAATAAAATATTCTGGGACTGCATGAAGTCTTTTTTTAATATTTTGTCTAGATTTTGGAAGTTTTGACATCAATCCAATTTGAAAAAGTGCATAAATCCACCCAATAGATATAGAGTATGCTGAAGGGGTCCTCTGTTGTAATAAAAAGAATAATGACACTGTAATTAGAAAGGTAAACAGCTTGCTTGCATTTTTTAACCTTCATAAAATTGCATCTTTTTTACTGCAAAGGACCAATTAAGTCATGCATGTAGCTGTATTCTTGTGATATCAACTGTAAAGATTACATTGTGTTTAAATGAAAATAACAGGCACACATTTAAAAAGAAGATGAAGAAATGTAAATATATTTGATTAATAAAACATTTCTATTACCGCATCCTAAGCCTTTGTTTTATGTTAAGATTATGTATGGAATTTTGTGCATGCTATGCAGAAAACCAAATATGCTTAAATGCGTGTGCATTGAAGGCAGCCTCAAATAATCACAGTGCCTTGCTGCAGTTTTCATTATGAGGTTCCAAAAGAGGTTTGCAGCTTGGATGTTGCAAACTGATTTGCAGTGGGAAGATAGAACAAGTTCAGTTTTCTTGGTAACTGGGTCTCAATACTCCCGTTGATGTAATGCTGAGGGCACAGTGCGGTCATATGCTCAAGCAATTTCTCAACCATGATTTGTTTTCTGGTTTTATACGTTTATGATGCAAATTCTGTCATATTGTAATTAAGTTTTTCTGTTCTGCATACTAGAGTGTGGGTTTTTTTATGGTTGACGGCCTGAGTCTTGTTTAGTTACCTGAATCCTGATTTACAAGGATCACCATCTAGTGGACTAAGACAGAATTTCAAAACTCCAGTTGATGTGATGTCATCTTATTTTTTAGAAATAATTCTAAAACCAAAGCTAAAAGCACTAACCATGCTCCACTGCAAGAGATCTTCAGTGCCTTTTTTAACATTATTGCACTGCCGTTGTATATGTCAAAGAGCAGTGATTAGTTCACTAAGTCACCCCTTGTTCCACTTGAAAAAATACCACTTGAGTATGGGAAAAATATGTCAGTTTCTGTCATTTTTCATGTTATATGACCTTTTACATAAGCACCAGAACCACCACGGTAGAATAATTGTGCAAAACTACTGTACTTGAGAAAATACT